TACTTCACGGGAATGAAGTCACTCTTCGACTCCGACTACAAGAAGGCCGAAGAGTTGTTGGCGTTTGCCTTCAATAAGTGTCATCCGGAGGCCCATAAGAATCACAGACTCATATTGATTTACTTAATACCCGTCAAAATGCTTTTGGGACACATGCCCAGCGACCACCTCCTCGACAAGTATCGGCTCCAGGAGTTCGCGCCCGTCATTGAGGCCGTCAAAGCGGGAAATGTGCGCCGACTGGACGACGCCCTCGAAGCAAACGCCCAGTTCTTCTGGGGAAACGGCATTTACCTGATCCTCGAGAAACTCAAAATCATTGCCTTCAGGAATATCTGTAAGAAAGTGGCGCTCATTGTGGACACCCATCAGATCCATATTCAAGTCATTGTGACTGCGATGAAGCACTTATACGACGAGAACATCACCAGTGAAGAGGTTCACTGTATTCTCGCAAATCTTATATTTGAAGGCAAAATCAAAGGCTATATTTCATTACAACACCAAAAACTGGTCATTTCTAAACAGAATCCCTTTCCACCCCTTTCTTCTGTAACCGCATAGACTACTGTTCCGTGTTATGCAAATGTATGGACTTTAGAATTTTCAAAATAGATGTTTTGGCTCTTATATGATATCTTCAGATGTAATACTCGGCGCATGACTTCATCTAAAATGCTTAACATATAGACGAAGAAATATAACAATTTTATATACTCTTTAATTTTATTGTATTCTCGCAAATCTTATATTTGAAGGCAAAATCAAAGGCTATATTTCATTACAACACCAAAAACTGGTCATTTCTAAACAGAATCCCTTTCCACCCCTTTCTTCTGTAACCGCATAGACTACTGTCCGCATAGACTACTGTTCCGTGTTATGCAAATGTATGGACTTTAGAAAAATGTTTGTCTTTTCAAAATAGATGTTTTGGCTCTTATATGATATCTTCAGATGTAATACTCGGCGCATGACTTCATCTAAAATGCTTAACATATAGACGAAGAAATATAACAATTTTATATACTCTTTAATTTTATATACTGTGTATGAATTTATGTTTGTTGTTATATTATCTCAGATTATGTTATTTTGTATGTTTCGCATAATTGCCCTAAATTCCCAAGAATTCATTTTCATATTTATTTGAATTTTTATTGAGTTTATCGACAACTTTATAGCACTACTCAATATTACATCTGACATTACAGAGCGAGTATTTATTAAAATATAATGTTTGTAAATGAATTTGTATTGCATTCTTAACAATTAAATATTGTTCACTATTATCATACCATTCCAACTCTTTAACTGCAAATCATTTGAAAGTAAGTTAAGTAACATTTGTCACGAATTTATACGAATAGATATTTATTTGCATATCTATTGTTTTGTTGATCGATTAAGAGTATATTTTATATACAGTATTCTGTACTATGTTCATTGATAATTGTGCATAATTATGATCTTGAGTTTAATTATGCATTATGTTATATCAATTAAAAGAATTAGATTTTTTTGCAAATGATATATAGTATTCAGTTCCCATCCAAATGGTTTGATACGATTTTAATTCCGTACAAATTAATTAACTAATTAGTATAAATTAACAAACATCAATAATTAAACTTGTAAAATTCCATATTCAAATTAAATTTTCAAGCTTCAAATATACTATAGTTTAACCAAAATTTTACTAAATTTTTATTTTTCCATTATATATTTTAAAGCAAAAATATAATGGTATTTATATGAAAATTTATTTATCTATTAATTTTTAATTAATTTATTATTTTTAATTTAATTTATATTCCGATACTGTAATAAAGTGGTTATATTTAAACTAATTTTATAATCTAAATTCAATGCAATTCATTTAGATGATCTCATGAATATTAAATACCGCTATAATAATACATAATATTATACAATATTACTAATCGACTCCTTTTATCATATTATTTGTTAAATTATTATTGTCAACTCGAGTATAATTAATATTATTTACTTAATTTCATAGGATGTTATACAGACTGTTTCCATAACAGATACTTGTTCAATTAGACAAATTCTGTGTGTGTTTTGTATTATACTATTTTCAATGTTAATGTATTTTGCACATTTATAAAATTGGTTTGTATTCTGTATCATATTTTTAATAATTTCATATAACCTTGAAATTCTAGTTATTTAAATTTTACATAATTCAAATTAAAGTCGCGTTCGTATTTTAAGATAATTTTTTAACTTGTAATAAATATTTAAAAATTTGACTGTTTAATTATGAAAATATTATATTAATATTAATGATTGACACAACAAATTGATTTTTTGGTTTTGTATTCGGATTTACAAATTCTTATAGTTTTCACAATAAAGTAAGTTTTATTTTACAGTAATAAATAATATATAATATATTAAATACTGTAACCCTTAAGTAATCAATAATATGTTTTATTCAAAAAATGGTATCAAAATGTTAAAAGATGAGGTATTAGAAACCATTTTAATATATAGCATTTGCAATATTCTTACAAAAATACATGGTATTGATATTTTCATTAGAGACACTTATGTCAGAATATTTGATTAATGATTCTTACATTTGCTAGGTTTGTGTTTTTTTTCCAATAGCACTGTATTGACAAATCAGTGTTAAGGCACTGCATATTTTGTTTGATCTGTATTTTTATTTTATTTTTTATGTTAGAAACAGTGACAAACAATATTTTATAAATTCTGTCTATTTATTATTTATTGATTTTATCTATTTTCAATAAAGTTATTCATTTTAATATAATATTTTTAATTAAGGTTCAATAATTTTAATCTAATATCTTTAAGGTGTAAATTTTAAGGTTTAATTTTGATATCGATTAAAATTTCATTGATATTTAGATTATTGAATGATTCTAATTACTGAATAATCCGTATTTCACTAAATAACTATATAATAAACTTCATAACCTATCATATTTACTTAACTGTGTGTTATTTATTTAACTATAACATTCTTTATATAAGATAAGAATATTATTGATTTTTTGTACCATTATATTAATAGTTTATTTAATTTTTTGTTCATACATTAATATTATCTATTTTATGTTTTGAATGTATAATATTACAACTAAAAACTACTACTATTTACTGTATATTATTATTTAAATTTTTAAGATAACTATTATAGTAAGTAACAATTTTTTAATTTCAAACCATTAATATGTATTTTATTAATTATAATAAATCACAGAATAATATATTCCAAACAAATTATGAGTTATATTTATTCAATAAAATAAAGTACATAAAAGTTATATTACAAGTTGTAATATTCAGTAACTAGTATTTGATTTGCTCTCATACAATATTTTTCCAATTCAATATTTTATTAAATGCTTATTTTATTGTATAATTTTAAAGCAAAACTAAAAACTTTAAATATTTAACACCTATACTACAGTATTGCTACTTAATTTTTACAGTGCAATTTACTTTTAACTTTATTTCTTAATTACAATTTTTTCTAGGCTTTAATTTTTTAAATTTAAATTTAAATGAACTAAAAACCTATTTATTAAAAATTTTTATTTTTTATTTTAGAAATTTGTCGCAAAA